TAATTTTTAAAAATATAAAAAAGTGTTAGAATTATCTGAGAAGATAATAATTTTAAATAGATCCCCATCATGCCTGGCCTCTCAATCATAAAGATGATTCTCTCCTTTAAAAAAAAAGTGATGGGGAGATATGGGAGGAGTTGGAGGGGAGGAAGTAGGCATGGATTTGATCAAAACACCTTATATACATGTATGAAATTCTCAATAAATTATTTTTCTAAAAAGAGACCCTTGTCTCTAAATAAATAAATAAATGCAAATAACTAAGATCGGGTGACATGGGCTAGTTAGTAGGCAAGTATATTCAGATTTTTCCCTCAGTTTCATAGATGACAGCCTTTTACATTTAAATTTTTTATTTTAATTTTATGGGTATGTGTATTTTGCCTATATTGGTTTAAGTGCACCACAGGTGTGCAATAAGCACAGAGGCCAGAAAAGTACATCAGATCCCCAAGAGCTGGAATTAAGGACGGCTGTTAGCTGTCATGTGGGTGCTGAGAAGCAAACCTGGACCCTCTGCAAGAGCAGCCCGTGTTCTTAACCACTGAGCCATTTCTCCAGCCCCATAAGTGACAGTCTTGAGGGACTGAGATAATTCTCACTCTGTGGCAATGGTTCATTACTGTGAAATCAACTTTGTTCTAAAACAGGACCATCCTCGTGTGTCTTCTATGAGTCTGCTTGGAGGTGTTGCAACAACAGAAAATGAACTACATGCATGAATTAAAGGGGTCTTCTGCAAAAAGCATGACACAGTTCCTGAGAAAGATAAAAATAAAGAGAGGAGAGCAAGAAGGAAATAAGATGCTCTGCAAGACTGGTGTCTATCATGCATCCCCTCCTGCAATAAAAAAGAACCCAGAACTGGGTGTGGTGGCACATACCATTAATCTCAGCAGATAATCTGTGAGATCGAGGCCAGCCTGATCTACGTGGTGAGTTCCAGGGCAGTTGGGGCTACAGAGAGACTGTGATACCCGTTAAGATGTGCCAGCAGGTTTTGGTCAAATCAAGAATCCTTCACTAGCTAGCAGAAAGGCCGGCAGTCGAGAGAGGCAATTTCCAGAAAGAACTCTCGACCCCAGGGAGAAGCAGAGCAGGGTCTGCAGAGCTAAACACCACAATGACGTCATACTAGGTACAAGTCAGAGAACAAAGATTTAACAAACCAACCAGGGACAGGTTATTCAGATAACAAAGACTCATCAAAGCAGGGATAGGTTAGTGAACAAATAAGCTTTCAATTTTTCAATTAGAGAATAAGTTTCTCAGAATTATTGAAACATTGGCCTCCTGATTGTTCTTCCTGTCTCTATGGTCAGCAGGGGAGGGGCATGTTGGAGTACAGCATAGAATGCAATCAAGCAAAAGATGTAACCAGTTAGGGGAAATGGAGTGATTTTTCTGCTAGTTCAGGGACTATGTCTCAAAACAAAACAAAACAAAACAAAACAAAACAAAACAAAACAAAACCCAGAACCCACTGAAGTCAGTCAATGCCGCTGGGTTTACAGAAGGAAGAGCAGTAGATCCAATTATCTTATATAACAGTAATATCTTAAAAATATTTTTATTGGGGCTGGAGTGATGGCTCAGTGGTTAAGAGCACTGACTGCCCTTGCAGAGGACCCCGGTTCAATTCCCAGCACCCACATGGCAGCTATGAACTGTCCTTAACTCCAGTTCCAGGGGAATCCGAAGCCCTCTTCTGACCTCCAGGGCATTGTACGACAGGGGTGCACTCACATACATGCAGGCAATACACTCATACACATAAAATTAAAATAATAAATAAAATATTTCAAAAAATTGTTTTTATTAATTCTGTGAGAACTTCATTTGGTATATTTCAATCATATTCCCTCCCTCCCCCAACTCCTCCCATATCTACGCACACCTTCCTACTTACAGAACTTTCTGCTCTCCTCTTGCCCCCATAGGGTAGCTGCACACACGAATAAATTTCCAGCAGTTACGACAGCATGCACAATGCTAGGTTTTTGTTTGAGAGGGGTTTTTTTTGTTTTGTTTTGGGTTTTTTTTTTGGGGGGGGCTGTTTGTTTTGTTTTGTTTTGTTTTTTAGACAGTGTTTTCTCTTTAGTTCCAAGTAGCCTGGAACTTGTTATGTAGATCAGGCTGGCCTCAAACTCACAGAGATTTGCCTGCTCTGCCTCCTGAGTATTAGGAAGTTCGGAATTTTAACTCTTTCCCAGGTGAATGTTAGGATTAGGAGTTGAAAGAATCACAAGTAGGAAAGGAGAGCAACCAACCTCATAGAATCCATGTAGGCCTGAATTAGTCTATGAAGGGTGACTACTGACCAGCTTCTGCAGTAGCCACAGGGGCCCAACAGAGGCGGGGCTTAAGTACTTCTGTGTACGTAAACTCTACTCAGGTGAGTTGAGACTTCAAAGCCTGCATTCTTTCCCAATAGATAAGGGTCTCCAGAGGACTTGTGGGAGAAGATTCAAGGTCTACATTTTTTCTGCCTTACCAAGGCAGAAATTTATGGCTGAGGTCCCGGACATGCTTGTTTGCAAAGCAAGATTGCTTTATGATTTTGGGTTAATGGTTCATCTAGTTCTGGGAGTAAAGTGTGTGCGCCACCATGCCCAACTTAACACAAGTTTTCTTTCTAAAGAGTGAAGAAAAATGGTAGGTCCAGGTTGCCACTCAGTAGTAGAGTGCTTGTCACAATATGCAAAGTCCTGGGTTCAGTCCTCCAACATTTAAAAAAAAGAAATGTATTGCAAAAATGCAGTAAGCATGGGCTAGAGAGATGGCCCAGTGGTTACAGCACTGGCTGCTCTTCCAGAGGACCCAGGTTCAGTTCCCAGCACCTACCTAACAACCATCTGCAACTCCCATTTCAGGGGATCCAACACCCTCTTCTGACCTCTGCAAACACTACACAACACAGGTTCACTTACATGCAAAACACTCTTACACATAAAATAAAAATTAATTTAAAATGTTTTAAAGATTTTAAAAAATATTTATTTATTTATTTATTTATTTTTATGTGTATGCTTGTATACATGTAGGTCAGTGCACTCGTGTCGTGCAATGCCCGCAGAGGACAGAAGAGTTTGTCGGATCCCCTGGATTTGAACCTGGGTCTTCTGCAAGAACATTTGGTGTTCTTTACCACTGAGCCACCTCTCCATCCCCTTAAAGATCTTTTTTTTTTAATGCAGTAAGTGCATTGGGCCCACACAAAACCACCCAATCAACAATCACTCAAGGAAAGGAGAGGGGCCCTACTCTTTACCTCAGAACTATTGGTTATCCATAGATTCTGGGAGAGGAGGAGACCTTGTCTTCAGTTTGTGTACCCTCCGCTGAGACCATCAAGCTCCAATGGATAGGCCCAGATCCGTGTTCATACCAATGGCCCTGGTTGATTTTGGTGGGTCACAAAGCAAGGTGAGTAGACATGGACATGAAGAGATGTGTTGGGGATAGGAAAGGTGAATGGAGTGTAGGAAGATGGCAGGTGAGAGCGGTCAGTATGCATGCCCTACCTGTGTGAAACTGTAAAAATGCCATGATTTAAAAATTGAAATTTAGGGGCTGGAGAGATGGTTCAGTGGTCAAGAGCACTGACTGACTAGTCTTGCAGAGAACCCTGGTTCAGTTCCCAGCATCCACATGGCAGTTAACAACCACCAGTAACTCCAGTTCCAGGGGATCAGATGTCCTCTTCGGCCTGAGGGCATCGCACACACATGGTGCACTTACACACATACAGACAAAGCATACACACACTTTTTTAAATTAAATTAAATTTTAAAAAATAAAAATAAATTGTAAATAAAACTCCGCATGAGGGTTTAGAGGGTGGCTCAGTGCTGCAGTCAGTGCTTGGCTGGCATTCATGAGGCATCTGAGTTTTGACTCTCAGTAAAGAAAAGACGGCAGGAGGAAGGGAAGAAAGAAGAAAAAGAGATAGTTCCTACCAGTTAACTAAGGAAAAGAATCCGCTGCAACCCCAAAAGGAAATATGAAAAAAACAATGAAGACAACTAACAAATCAAATTCATACAAGTATTTGTGAAGGCTCAGGATGGCAGCAACACAGCAAGATCAAGCAGACAGGAGCCCATGGAGGAGCAGCAGCCACGGGAGCTCAAGTAGGGGCACGTAAGGCCACCCAGAAAGTGAAGGGAGAGGTTTCAACAGGGGGGAGGGAATGCCCCCCGACCATGGAACAGGAAGCAGAAGTCACAGTGACTGCGCTGATTGTCACAGGAGCAAGCATTGCGCAGTGAGAACCGTGGTAGTCAGCAGGGCAACTGTGAGGCAAGCGCAATGCTTTCCAGGATATCTGGCGCCACCTAACGGTCAAATGGAGAATTTCCTCTGAGATGCTAAAAGAACCTCAGGTTTCTATACCCCAGGTAAAACTGCATCCTCAGCATCATCAGGGAGAGAAGCTGGGGCAACAGCCAAGTCTAAAGCCAGCTTTCTCAGCAGGAGAGATGAGGGGTGAGGCTCGTTCTCCTTCCTCCTGCAGTACCAAGAGGGACCAAGGCTCAAGGTGAGGGAAACGCCCCACCCAGATGACACTGGAGAGGCTCCGGAGCAAACTGAACATGTTGGGTAGGTGGAGGAAGGGCAGCAGACCAGGCAGAGGGTCCAGCCAGGGCAAAGGGAAGAAGCAGGAAGTGTGCTCTTGGTTCTGGCAGCCTCTGACTGAAGCCATGTTGAGGTTTAGAGTGGTCCAGCTTGACAAGAAACCCAGCCGGCAACCCCCTCCTGCCCACTGCACAGTAGTTCTCTTCTAAATTTTATCTATTTATTTTCGATTTACATATGTATTTCTTATTTATGTTTTGCCTGGATGTATGTGAGGGCACCACGTGCATGCAATGCCATGGAGGCCAGAAGAGGGCATCAGATCCCCTGGACTTGAGTTATGGATAGTTAGCCACCATGTGGGTGCTGGGAACCCAACCCAGGTCCTCTGCATGAGCAGCCACTGCAGTTAACCACTGAGCCATCTCTCCAGCCCTTCACAGTGGTTCTTTTTTAAAACATATTTTATTATGATTTGCCAGGCATGGTGGCACATACCTTTAGTCCCAGCACTCGGGAGGTGGAGACGGGCAGATATCTGTGAGTTCGAGGCCAGCATGATCTACAGCAAGATCCAGGCCAGCTGGGACTACAGGGACACCCTGTCTCAAAAAGACCAAATTTTTTTTTATTTTTATTACTTACTTGTATGAGTGTATTGCCTGCATGTAGGTGAGAGCACCCATGTTGTGCAGTGCCCACGAAGGTCAGAAAAGGTCATCAGATCCTCTGGAACTGGAGTTATGGACAGTTGTTAGCTGCCATGTGGGTGCTGGGAATTGAAACTGGGTCCTCTGCAAGAACAACCAGTGCTTGTAACTGCTGAACCATCTCTTCACTCCCCACCATGATTCTTATTGAGAGCAAGTGAGAGAGTAAAGGAAGTACCAGGCTTCAGGACTGTAAGAGGGTCAGTTTGTGGCATTTTAACATTTAAGTCTGTGAGCATCTGTCACAGCAGCTGTACTGAGCTAATACCTACACCTGGAAGAATGCTTTAAAAGATGTATATGATGGGGGCTGGAGAGATGGCTCAGCAGTTAAAAGCACTTGCTGCTCTTACACAGGACCAAAGTTTGGTTCTCCCATCCACACGGGGGCTGGGGGGGCACAAAACTGCCTGTACCTCCAGATCCAAGGGATCTAAAACTATCTTCTGGCATTCACAGGCAGCCACACAATCACATCAAATGAAAATTAATCTTTTAAAAAAAGTGTTTATGACAAAAATCACAAGACATTAATTACCAAGGGCATTTTGGAGGGGGAACTGTATAAATAATCTGTTCCTTATTAGACAGGAAGAGAGGAGGAGGGGAGGGAGAGAGGAAAGAGAGAGGCCTATTCCCAAGGGAAAAAAACTTTTTTTGTTTTTTCTTTGGAGACAGGGTCTCCCTGTGGGTCCAGCTGGACTGGAGCTCGCTACGTATACCAGGCTGGCCTGTGTCATAGAGATCCACCTGCCTCTGCCTACTGAGGGCTGAGATTAAAGACACCGGCCACCATGTCCAGCATGGGCCACATGTTCTTTTAGCATTCTATTGTTGGGCACCTAGGTTGGCTCCATTGTTTGGCTCTTGTGCACAGTGCTGAAGTAAACACTGACATGCGAGTCTCTTTGCTGTATTAATGAAGACTATTTGAGGAAATTCCTGGGAGTAATGCAGCTGGTCATAGAGTAGGCACATTTTTAGTTTGGGGGGAAGCCCCATGCTAATGTCCACAGTGGCCAGACTTGTTCACAGTCCCACCAACATGTAAGGTTCCCTGTTCTTTTCCACGCAGCATTATTGCTTTCTTAACATTTTTTGTGTATATGATGTAAATGCATGTGCCTCCATGTGCATGAGTTGATGCGCGTGTGGCTGTCAGGAGACAACCTTGGGTGTGGTCCTCACCTTCCACCTTCAAAACATTTTTTTATTTTGGTGATTTTTTTTGTTCTTTATTTTTTGGTTGATATATATATATACATATATGTGTGTATATATATATTTGTATTTTACATAGTGAGATCCTGTATCCAAGACCCCAAGCATATTTTTAAATTTAGGGGGTAGAACAAAATATATTGTAGACAAAAATATACTAGTTAATATAAACATAGTTCAAAGTTTTACTAGTTTAAACAGCATCCATGAAATACAGAGAATCAATTGAATGGTGCACATCAGACCCATTTCAAATTCATTTCTTTTTATTTATAATTTGGTGGTGCTGAGAATGAAACCCAGGGAGTCACACATACTGGCCGACATGTGTGGTGCTGAGGTACACCACAGCCCTACAAATGGTTTTAACTGAGGGGATGTCATGGGCTGTAAACAGGGACTGAGGCCATCCATAGAGGAAGATCCCAGGAGGGACAAGCTACAGGGGAGGGGGACTCAGAAGGGTACTGGAAAGGAGGGCAGCAAGCAGACTGCACCCCAAGTTGCCCATGCAGACTAGAGGAGCAGAGACCCTGAGGGTCAGAGCAGGGAGCTGCTGGCTGCTCACAAACCCAGAAATTCTGCGCCGTGCATGTGCTGTCATTCCATCTATCCTCTCTCAGCTTCACACAGTCCTCATCTACATCATTGTTGGGCTCACCCTCTTTCCAGAAGCTGCAAACAACACCAGCCATCAGAGAGAGCCATCCCAACCAGAACCCACCTCACACCCACCCATGGAGGAGGAGCTGGGCTGTGGCCTTCCATGGCCAAAGTCCAAGGACCGTCCAGACAGGAATCCAGGACAAGGATATAGCAAATTGTGAGCTCCACCCTCACCTCCATGGGAATCAGATCAGCAAAGCAAAGACACAGATGCTGGGACCTGGGCTTGGACTAGGGGCTCGGGATCCCCAGGGGTTATGGGGACCTGTGGTTAGGAAGTTCCCTAGGTGCTTTTCAATAGAAAAAGCTGCATTTAGAGTGAGGGATTTCCCCCTGAGCCCTCCCCTCTGGGCCATGTGCTGTGGGGGTTTACCTGAGCTGGAGGGGTATGGTCCACCCACTGCCGTGAAGCTTCACGTTTGTCCTCTCTGAGGCTGATTGAGGAGAGTTCATTCTTTCTAATGTGACAGTGATTGAGGAAACTCTGAGTGGAAGGAGGTGGGAGGGCAGACCCTGATTCTACCACTTTATCATCCATCTGTGTCCCACTCTGTCTTGCCTTTCAAGTAGGTTCTTTCTGCAATCTATCCTCAAGTTTTGTGACCCAGCATATAAATGCCAGTCATGGATGTGTTGATGTGCACACACACTTGGAAACGTGTTCACTTGTAGTCTGGCTCATAGACATGTTAGAGAGGATCACACAGTGCCTCAAAGCTGCTCTGACTTCCATCTGTCTTACCCCAATGCTCAAATGTGTTCTTCATCTATAAGACCTCCCCATACCATTGTGATTCCTCCTACAGGAAGCTCTCCCAGACTGCATCTCCTCCACATCCCCCCAAGCCTCCCATATGGATTCCAACTACAGGGAGCAGGATTTTTGTGGTCCCATGACAGGATCCAGCCCCAGGCGGAACTGACCCCAGCTTGCCTGCTCTGCAATGCTGTTGACGATTACCAGGTGGGCCCCCAGATCCTGGCAGGCAGAGACGGAGGCCTGCCAGCTGCCCAGGGTCCATGAGAAGAGGTAACGGCTTCCCTGGAAGAGTTCCCAGTCTGAAGGGCAGGGGCAGTACAGACCAACTTTGGGGATCCACATGGCAGGACACAGCATAGTGGAGGGTAGGTGGGACACAACAAGGTGGATTCCTGAGCTCAGCTCCTGGTTCCCTCCTCTCCTTTTTTGGGCCTTAGGAGCCCAAGGCCGGTCCCCTACTTCAGCTATTAGCTTAGTCCCCCAAAACCTATGACCTCCATCCCAGTTCTACCCTGACAGCCTCAGTTGGCAGCCAGAGAAGGTGGATCCCAACCCTTCAATGACCCCTCCACTAGCTCCTGACTCAGGCCCAAGACCCTTACCCAATGAGGCATTGATCTGGATCAGCTGCTGCTGGATCTGCTCCAAGCTGGAAGGAATCTGTTGGGGAGGAACCCTAGTCTCAGACACTGATTCTTCCAGCACTGCCAGCCTGCAGGACATCACACAGGGCTCCATGGCCTCCCATCCTGCCCTGCATTCAGCATCCTTGTACTTGTACTTGCCCATATCACACACCTTCTCCAACTCAGGACCACAGTTACTCCTCACCCAAGCTGGGGATCCCCCTATCATCCTGGGTCTCTCCTGGTGGAGATTCCGGAATCCTGGAACCCGCTAAAGAGAAGAGCACACCCCCTCTTATGAGCACTGACTGTATGCTCGACTGTATGCTTGACTGTGCCCAGTCCAGCCACACGAGGATGAGCCCCATGTCACAGATGAGGAAAGAGGCCCAGAGAGGGACAGTGAGCTGTCTGTGGTCACATAGGAAGGGAAATGTAGTCCAGATATCCTAGTCCCATAGTGCTGGGGGCAGGGCAAGGATCATCCTAGAAGAAAACTCCATAGCCCCAGGAATCAGAGTCCCCTAGATACAGCAGGCTAAGCCCTGCCCTGACTTACCTTGAACCAGGGTGGCCAACAAAAGCACAGAGAAGAGGCCCAAGGAGAAGAGAAGCAGCAGGAGCCAGGGGACTCCGGTCAGACACTCTGCAGGACCAGCAGATGGGCAGAGGTGAGGTCTTGGGAGAGACCCTGCTCTCCTGTGTTCATGCTGCAGAGTGCCCCACCACCCCTGCCCCTGAGCCACCCCAGTACCTGGCAAGCTCGTTGGGCTGTGACTGAGACCCTCAGGGTCTTTCTCAGTGAATCTCTGGCCTCCAAATGTGACCTCCTCTGCTGAATGGGGCAGAACACACTCAGCTGACCTCCCAAACTTGGCTCACTCCCCCAGTCCCAAGCTGCAACCCAGACCCAGATTGCTGTGCATCCCAGACCCTGTCGCCTGTAAAAGCACCCAGCAGGCTCCCAGCCTCACCATGGCTCCCTGGCTGCTGGGGTTCTGGCTCTCCTGCCATCTTCCTCTCCTCTCAACTCCCCCTCTCTCCAACTCCTTTCCGCACTCGGGTTTATATAACCCTGTGGTTTGCCCTTGCAGCCCCCCATGACGTCCAACTCCCTGACTCAGGATAAGAAAAAAGAACAGGATGGGACATCTGCCTGCGGGAAAAGTTGGGGGAGAGAGATGCTTTGCTTGTCACAGGTATGAGAGAGGCTGCTAGGCTGGGGGCAGAAACTGTGCTGTGACTTTTGATGCCCGAGTCCCTACTCACCTACATTCAGTACAGGGACTTGGGCCTCATCTTATGCGAGTCTCAGTTTCCTCTGCTGTGAAATGGGGCAGTGAAGGGCCAGGGATGTGACTCAACTGGCAGAAAGCTTGCCTAGCATGCATGAAGCCCTGAGTTCCATCCCTAAACACTGCACAAATGGACTGTGGTGGTGCAAGCCTGTCATTCCAGCACTTGTGAGGGAGACAGCAACAGAAGAATCTTTTTAAAAAATTTTTTACTTAATAAACACATAATTGTAGAAGCATTTAATTACAACAGCATTGACATAGTCAATAACAGTTTCCAAGCAAAGATGCATCTCTTTCAAAATTGGCTGTACATTTTTAGGTTCACAGTGTTGAATTAATACAGTTATACATTATTGTACTCAGTATAAACCCTATAAGACATAAAATTGAATGATGTTTTAACCTTTAAGAAACATCTCCGTTTCATTTTAAAATACACTGTTTCATACAGAAAAATTCATTTTTAATGCAACTAACATTTAGATGCTTGCACATGCACCTCTAATCTCTATATATCTGATTATTACTAGTCACAATTGGTTACTTTCTGAGATCCACCTGAGCATGGATATAAAATCATCAGGTAGATTTCAGTGGTAACGTGTTTCACCTCTGCAAATTAATATGGAGCACATTTTTATGCTTCTTCCTCAAATGTAACTCATTTTTTAAATTTGTTGATTTTTGTGTGTATTTTATACAGAACATCCCAAACTATCTTATTCATCTTTATACCCGCATCCCAAATGGCACCCTCCCACAGCCTCTCCCACCCCCTCCAGTAGAACTCATATACTCTGCCATCATTCCTGTTCTGTCCAATGTGTTGTCAGTGCCCCTCAGCTGTTCCCGGTGCTAGTGCATCCACTGAGTCTAGTCAGCCTATCTAGAGATCCTTGTTTTAGGGGGAAAGACCCTCCTCTTTGTAGACACTGCTTCAAGTCCATCTGGTGGGGTCTCCATGGCCTCCTTGATCAAGAGGACAGGTGACTCACCACAATTACAGGACATTTTGAGAGATGCTCATAGTCCCCTGGAATTTAGTCGACCTTGGAGGGCAAGGAGCAAAAACTCCCCTTTAAGACCTTCTGGCCAGATTAGTATAGGCCTCAAAGTATGGCATTAAACATCCAAGAAGGCTAATACCACCAGTCTGGTACTTTTAATTACCATATGCTATGTAGATAAAGCTTGGGCAAAAACTAAATGTTCTCAGATAAACCTTGACTAGACATATATTATGTTCCTTGACCTAGTTGTATGCATAATTTTTCAGTAGGTTGTTGGACCAATATGGTTCCCCCTGGTTTTTTTTAAACTAGCTAGGCCTTACTTATATCTCTCATTGTCTAACCTTTCCACCATGGTTTCCCCATTTAAAGTGCCCCCATTTTCCCCATTTCTCCCTTAATAATACCCTTCTCCTATGGTCCCACCTCTCTTGAGCGCCTTCTTTCCTTTTATACCCTAGGTTCCTTGTATCATCCTCCCTCCCCCTCCCATTAGAATAATCCCATTTTTATCCATATCTCCCTTATTAACACCTGCCACAAGTTAAGAGGCCAGCCTATGTAAAAGAGAAAAAAAAATTCAGGCATGGTGGTGTATGCCTTTGATCTCAGCACTCTGGAGGTAGAGGCAGGCAGGTTTCTGAGGTCGACTGATTTTCAGGACAGCCAGGGCTACATAGTGAGACTCTATCTCAAGGAAGAGAGGAGAAGGAGGGGGGAGGAGGAGAGGGAAGAAGAGAGGAGGGAGGGAAGGAAGGGAAAAGGAAGGAGGAAGGAGAAACGAAATGGAAATATGTTCCTGCCTTCCATTGTCAGAGTGAGGTTTACTCCAGTGCTCAAGTAATATTTGAATATCATATATTCTAGTGATAGAACAACATTTAGGATTTGCAGACATTAGGCTAGGGAGATCATGCAGTGGTTAAAGCACTTACTGTGCAAGCATTGAGGGCTTGAGTTTGAATTCCTGGAACTCATACATAAAAAAGGGCTGGATGATACAGGGCACACCTGCAATCCCAGCACTCCTACATGAGATGAGAAGTGAAGACAGGAGGATGCTTGGAAGCTCGTGGGCCAGCTCCTGGAGTAAGCAGCAGCAATCAAGAGACCCTGCCTCAAAGAAGGGAGAAGATGAGGGCTGACACCACAGCCTGTCCTCTGCCCACTCACCATGCGTTCATACACATACACACACAAACACACACATACACACACACACACACACACACACACACACACACACAGAGTACATGGTCTGGTCTGCATAACATAGTTAATGGACCCTATCCTGGATGGCTGAGAGGTTCTTTGTGTTGGGCACTTATAGCCGGATTTAACTTCCCTAGATGCTGCTCTGACCTCAGGTGACCTTTGACCCCGGAGCCTCTCTGTCCCTCCTAGATAACAAATAATGCTGAGACTCAGGGCTCCCAATTGGTCTGTGTTGCTCACCTATTGCAAGGGAAGAATTCCACAGGACATCAGCCAATACATCACAGTGATGGGCCATGACAGTGATGATCTCCTTGTAATTGTGACAGAGCACAGTCAGGGCAGTGTAGTTCCAAGTGACACAAATAACCAAATGGCCCCATATCCCAGGGCTGGGAAGAAAGAACACTTGCTGAGTGTACATGAGGCCATGGTTCTACCCCTAGCACCACCACCACCAGAAGAAAAGTGCCTGCCCAGTAGGCCTTAACCTTAACCTATTCGGGTGCTGGAACAGAACATCGGAGCTTGAGTTGCTACTGAACAATGGAAGCTGATCTCATACAATTATGCATGTTGGGACGTTGGCTATCTGGGTATCTGTAGTTGGTGTCTGGTGAGGGCTGCTTCCTGACTCCTAGATGATTGTTCTTACTGTATCGTCACAGGTTGGAAGGGGTCAGGGAGCACTCGGCAGACTTAAAAAAAAAATCTCTTATTGGGGCCGAAGAGATAGATCAGTGGTGAGAAGCATGCACTGCTCTTCCATAGGACCTGAGTTCAATTCCCAGTAACTTCTTTGGGTTGCTCACAACTGCCTGTAATTCCAACTCTTGGGGGATCTGACCCCTCCAGCTTTCAAGGGTACCTGCACTAATGTGCATATACCCCCCACAGATACATATAATTGAAGATAAAAATTAATCTTTATGATTTATTTTTAAGACATTTATTTATTTGTATGAGTATTTTGCTTGCATATATGTAAGTGTACCTCATATTCATTGTGCATGGAGGCCAGAAACTGGGGTTATGGATGGTTGTTAGGTACCATCAGGATGCTGGGAATTGAACCTTGGTCCTCTGCAAGAGCAGAACCATCGCTCCAGCCCCTTAAGATTTACTTTTATTTTAAATTATGTATATATGTGTGTGTCTGTGTGTAGGTTTTGAGTGTAACTGCAGCAACAGTGGAGGCCAGAAGAGGGTGTTGGATCACTTTGAGCCTGACTTATAGGTGGTTGTGAGCAGTCAGACATGAGTGCTGAGAACTGAACTCAGGTCCTCTGCAAGAGCAGCAAGCGTTCTACTGCTCTCTCCAGCCCCTTGGAGTCTCTTAAAAAATTTTTTTCTGTTTGGATTTTCTGAGACTGGATTTCAGATAGCTCAGGTTGACATTGAACTCCCTATGTAGCTAAGGATGACCTTGATTTCCAGAATCTCCTGCTTCTACTTACTTACTGAGTGCTAGGATGACATGTGCCATCACACCAAGCTATGGGGACTTTTTTTTGAGACAAAGTCTCCTAGCTACAGCTGGCTTGGAACTTACTATGTAGATCAGGCTGACCTTGATCTCACAAAGATCCACCTGCCTCTGCCTCCCACGTGCTGGGATTAAAGGCATGCACTATCATGCCCATCTCAACAGGACTATTCCTTTTGTGACAGGGTCTCATTGTGTAGACTTTGGATGACCTGGAACTCACCATGTAGACCAGGCTGGCTTCCAACTCATGGTGATCCACCTGTCTCTGCCTCCTGAGTTCTGGTTTTAAAGGTGTGCTCCACCACATCAAACTGGTCTCATTTTTATTATTACATATATTTATTAGTAATTGATTAATTTATTGAGAGAGAAACAGAGAGCAAGAGAGAGACAGAAAGAGAAAAAAAGAGAGCCCCGCAGCAGGAGTATGGAGAGGTCAGAAGATAACTTGTTGTGGGTCAGTCTTGGTGGCAAACACCTTTACCAACTAAGCCATCTTGCCATCCCTCTGGGGGTCTCTTTTATGAAGACCCTCAGATCATTTATGTGGATTGTCTGGTCTTGAGATGACATACTGTGATGGTTAATAGTATCAACTTGATATGATCTAGAATCACCAGGGCAATGAGCCTTGGGTATGTCTGTGAGGAATTATCTAAATTATTTGGTTAACTGAGGTAGGAAGATCCTCTGTCATAGTTTTCTGTTGCTAGGATAAAACACTCTGATCAAAAACAGCTAGAGGAGTAAAGGGTTTCTTATATATTATACTTCTAAGTGACAGTCCATCTTTGAGAGAGGTGAGACACAGGCAGGAACCTTGAGTCAGGAACTAAAGCAGAGACCAGGGAGGAGGGCTACTTACTGCCTTATTCTGCAGTCCTGTGCTCTGCCTGCTTTCTTAGACAACGCAGGACCATCAGTCCAGAGGTGGCACCACCCACAGTGGGATGGACCCTCCTACATCACTCAACAACCAAGAACATACCTCACAGACATGCT